TTTCTTACATAACCATCTTTTAATAGAGCAAGGGCTAGCAGGATTTTGTGTAAGCGCACATAAAAGCTGGTTTGAATAATTTCAACTACTGCCTCCAAATAGGGGTAACAACCCATTGCCATTTTCAGATGATGTTTTAAAAGTTTTTGATGAAATCTTTTGGAAACTGGTGATTTTCACATCTATCTGTTCTATACTATATTTAAGAAAAATATATCTTACAAAATATTTTTCAAGAAGACTGTTAAACCTGACTCTGCTGCCCAAAACACATGCCATGTGCAAAATTAATAAAAAATCATGCCCATGAGGACCTTCACTGACAGCTGAAGTCATATGAAAGGAACTTGTTTTTTTAGTTTGGTGAAGAGAGAGGTCTCAGCAGATACAGCCAGAGAACATACAGCAAAGTAAATAGTTGCAAAGCCACCTAGAGATAGGTGCCTTTGGGAAAGCATACTGCTAATCATGAAAAGGCTTCTAACAGGGAGCACAGAAACTGCCTCACTTCATGCCAGCTGTGCTTACAAAATGGAATTCCCTCCAAATTTTTTTGTGATTAAAAAGGTTAGCACTAAAAACAAACAGAAACCCCCATATTCTTTCATCATGATTTTCTGTTCTTAGCAGAAACAATCCTCCAGCCTGGAATTTACTGAGACAAATGGGAACAGTATTTCTGCCTCCAGTAACTAGACATCACAAAGAGGTGAAACACTTTCCCTGAAATATGGGCCAGACCACAGCTCTTCTGGCAGCAGTGAATGACAACATTGCTGGTGGAGCTCAGTAGTCCAAATACAGTCAAAATCCAAGCTCTTTTGTAGTATCTTCCAATGAAAGGGGAGGAATTCCTAAATGATTCGTGAGAGTGATCCCAAGTGCTGTAACTCAGATCATTTAACAGCCAGCTATGATAATCTCCTCAGTAAATTAATATGGTTTGTCAAGCCAAACAAACTACAAAATAAGAAAGCTGTGACAGTGCCATGAAGATTTGCTAATCATTAACATCCATTTCAAAAACTTCAGAGCTTCAGACAAAATCAACTTATTATCTCCTTTATTGACGCTTTCAGAAGAGGAAAAAAATGGCCCACCAGCAACCCAGAAAAGTGAGAATGAGCAGCAACTGACATCTCATGCATCTCTAGCAAAAGACAGTGAAATTAATTCTTCATAGTGCTATCTAAGGCAAGTGAAGAACAAAGATGAGCCTAAAAGGCTTCATGTCCAGAAGTACTGAATATTGCTGGCAGACCTAATGGAGCTGCTATCAGCACAGAGGCCTGTGCTGCTTTTGTCAGAAAAATCTATACCACACTGGAACATACTATATACGCAGTACATGTTAAACTCTGGAGAAAAAAATATGACCCTATAATTTATTTGTTGAAATAAAGTAAAACGTTATAAAATTATGATTATTCTATGATTCTATGGTGTGATTATGACTATATAATTAGACTGTCTGCATAACAGTATTTTCCTGTGAATTTCTTTACGATTCAAAGGCTCAGTTACACTACTTTCCTCAGGGATAACTTCTATTAAAGTCCACGTAAGCACTGCAATAATTAAGTCACAGTATTTTACTTTTCAAATCACTCTTTAATCCAGAAAATATTACTGGAGTTACATTAATATTTAACAGTCACTTACATGGAACATAAGTAAAGCTATCCATCTCCTATCACAAAATAAAATATGTACAGAACTCTATCACAGAAAGAGACAAAGACCTATAACTAAAATCCAGCATAAATAAATGTAATCAATTTCCCAAGCTGACAGAGCATTGTAAATTATTTACAACATATAAATAGGTGTAACGCTATTCCAGGTCCATTGAAAAAAACCAAAATGGCATCACAGAAGAAAAATGGCACAGCATAGCTTTCTATTACCCACACTACGACTGAACGAATGAAATGCAAGAGGAGATGTGCCAAGTTACTTGATACTTGCTAGTCAGCTTAATCAGATACTCTCAATTTCCTGCAGGATGGATAACAAACACTGTTCTGCTTCTTACTGCTCACCACGTCTACTAAAATATTTTCTGAGGGAGAACAATCCTGAAAACTTGTGTGCACCTAATAACACGCAGTGTCTGGAACCACATAACCTGATATAATGTAAGAGAAGTAGATTTTTTAAAAAAATAATTAAAAGATATTGTATATGAGTAACTGAGATAAAGTAAATTATAAGGTTATGATGACAGATACCCAAGTTCCTGACTATCCTTCATTGTAACTCTACCATGTCAAAACCTGACTTCATGCTCCTGACTTTCCTCTGCTCTTATTTTTAAAAATCACAGAAGTACAGAAGAGTTTAAAAAAAAACAAACTTCAAGTAAAAATTTTAAAAGCAATTGTTCAAAGTGTAATTGCAACAACAGAAAGTCATTATATATTTAACAAACTGCATGAATCAAGAATAGAATTTACTTTTAATGACATGCATTTCTGTGAAAAAGGTTAAAAAAGCATGAGCGAGACTATGGCCATGAAACACTAGGATTTAACAGAAATTTTTCAGTGCTTGAATGTTATTGAAAATACTTTGAATCCTTCTATTGTTCAGGAAGATATATGTAAGAGGTACTACTTAATTCGACAACAAGTGGACTGAAAATCTTATCTTGTACCTTATTATCATCAATAACGAGATATTAATTTTCAGCCTAACTATATTTATACATTAACATGGATATGCTTATTTTATTAACAATCATGTCAGTTGCCTCATCCAGCTAAACTTTTTATCCATTAGATATGCATATTTTTAGGGGAAAGGGAAAGATTTTCCCTTTAGTTTTTCCTTAATGTGGACACATGGAAGACAACAACAGGGAAGGAGAGGAACAGGAGAACCGAGACAATTAAAGCCAAACCACCTGCCATCCAGGTTCACCCTTCACTGACATTCTTTAGCCCCTGCCCAAGTTACACTGACAATAAAGAAAAACTAGCAATTTTTGACTCCTTTCAAAAAGCTGATAAAATACAGGAAAGAGATAAAATACATGAAGAAAGAGTTTTGATTTCTCTCCTCTTCCATAAAGTTTAAAAAAAAAATTTAAAAAAAAATTGCAACTTTCTCAAGTATTAACTTAATACTCAGCAAAGTATTAACTTCCCTAAGAGTTAACATTTGTAAAGTCACAGCTATCACCCATGGTGTGAATTCCCCATTTTCATTACCTTCACTAATAAACTGCTTTTAAAAGAGGAAAATAAAACACAGACATTAGTATTCAGGCCTACTAATAGAATCTGGGAAAAAAATCTTACATTTTTTTATCCTCAACATTACCTCCTCTCAGACTACTTCCAAAAACACTTAGAAATTCTTAGAAATCAATACTTCAAATCATTAATTTTACCTCAAAGTAATATTAATTTTAAATAATCCACTCTTTTTTAATTTATAGTTCCTGTCTGCTCCATTTTTGCCACTGATTTGTTTACTGTTTCAAAATAAAGTCAGCTTGCAACACGCATTTCTTAGCACTACTTAGCTTCTTATTCGTAAAGGGAAATTGCTCCACAGTTTTTGTTATTTCCTTGATTTTCTACTCTTGTGTAGTCTCATGTTTCCCTTAAAATCTCATTCATTGAAAAAAAAAATCTGTAAAAATCTGAAAAATTAAGAATGAGTTTTCAAAAGAAATTTTCTTACTAACAAACTTATATTTTTAGTAAAGATTTTATGAGTGGTACCTAATTTCTTCTGCTCCTTTTCTAAAGACAATATGGATAATATTGGTAAGGTCCTAATAAAAGAAGAGCACTCCCTGTGTCAAGTAATTTTACCTAGTAATTTTTTCTTTAATAGCTAATGTCTGTGGTATTTAAAAAAAAGACAATGATTAGTTTAACTTTGCAAAACTACAAAAGCATAACCATTTAGCACTTACAGTACCTAGTAAGTCAGAAAAACTTGGAATCTATCTAGGACTTTAGGATATTTAGCTTCTCTTTCTTTCATCATGCTCCTCTCCCAAAGATCATTTTGTTTTGTGTCTGGGTGCCTCCAATTCCTCTCTTCCTCCTCCTCCCTGGCCTCATGCTACCCACAGTCCGTCTTTGCCATGCCCAGGATCCAAGAAAAGGGGAAATCCGAGAGCCAGGTGTATTTTTTAACTAGGCAAGCTGGAGCCAGACCTCTTGCAACAGAAAATACCCAACATCAAGACATGGGAATACAGTTGCTTCCCTCATCATCACAGGAACACGCTGTACAGAAACCACAGTCCCATGACTCAGAGCACAACACAACCAAGAAGCTCTGAGATGAGCTCCACTGAGTACAGGGAACCTGAAACTACATTCCTAACTGCTTCTTGGCATTTCCTTGTCCCTGAGCAAACTTAAATCCATTCAATCCCATTGTGCCTTACTCTCTTTCACCTTCCTTTTGACTTTTTATGCAGTCTCTGCCTTTCCTCTCACCCTATGTCAGAATAGGATATTGCCTACTTTCTCCTCTACAATGAATACCCACCATTCTATTGCTGCTCAAAGGCAATATGTCAATTCCAGGAAAAAAAAATAACATTCAAGGAAATGGTGACACTGTCTTTTTAATCCTGCCAGCAGTTATGAGCAAGAGGACAGCCAACTTCACTGAGGGAAGATTAGCATACTTCTTGTCATACCATGAAAGTTATTTGTTTCCTTTGTTTTATAAATATTTATGTATTAACAATAGAGTTTCAGTATCAAAATCATGATTTGAGAAAGTGATATTCACAATTAACTTACTACTTAGATACTTCCAGATTCCAAAAGAAAAACACACCAAAATCAAAATGCTTCCCACAGAAAAAAAACCTGTTACAGATCAAAATGCCTGAAAACAAGATGTACTGCTTTCTGTTCTGTCCTTTGAATACACTGCTAAGTTATTCAGTTAATTAGCTAATTCAGTTAATTAGTAGCATTGGGTCTGAACTCTGTCACTAAGGATTAAAGTAGTATCTTACTTACCTTGTATCTCTAATGAGAGGTGCACTTCCCAGTTTAAAACAGATCTTTTCCCCTCCACAAGGTGTTTGCCTCAAAGAAAAGCTTTCTGCCAGATCAAATCCTGTAAAATATGACACAATATGATACCATTTAATGGGATTTAAAACCCAGAAGTAAATACTGACTTTTAGCATGCTTGGTGACTTTCTGGAATACAGACTGACAAGCTATTTCGAAAACCAATACTTGAAGACAGAGAAAATTTCAATATCCATTTTAACAAAACTATTCATGCAAAATTCACTTGATTGATGACTTTGCTACCTGAGAAATGCATTTGTTATTTCCTTTTATCATCTGAACTGATAAGAACTGATTGGGAAAAACTATGGAAATCAGTGTGGCTGCCGAACTTGAACCAATGCTTCCCAAGAACAACATATTCTGATTTTAATCCCACTTTCCTAACAACAGCAGCAGCTTTTGGAGCCTGGGGGAGGCATTCTGTCCTGTCTTTTCAATTTTAAAGCCAGTTTCAGTCAGACTATGATTACATCCACTACTAGCCAATTAATATAGACACTAGCTCAATCATTTACCTGAAACACCACGACTGTCTCTGTTGATTTGTTTGAGATGATGGACAACTCTTTTCATTAAAGGACACACAGCACCTTCAAGAGAACACAGTTTAAAACAGAACACATCAAAAAATGCTTTCAAACTAAAACTAATCGTAACAAACTATCATGACAGTGATATTAACAGGAATGCTTCTTTTTGTTTCTTCAGGATATGAAAAGCAGCTATAAAACAAATTACAACATCTAAATAGGAGCAATGATATTTCAGATTCTATACTACACTTACAGGAATATAAGCAGATGCAAGTTTTATCTCATTTTAATTCAGCTGCTTCTGATTAAAGTTCATATGAACAATACAACCAGAAGAAAAACACTAAACTGTTACCATGCCGTTTCCGTCTACAACACTCTATAAAGCAATAACATCTGTTCTAAGTTCTTTTTGAATTTCTGGCTATAGTATTAGAAAATCTTTTTCCCCCATTAATGAACATGAAAAAATAAAGCATAGATGCTTGACTACTATGAAAATAATCTACTGTTAATTCAGGGAACAGTAAGTAATTTCAAAATATGGATTAACAAGGCTATAATCATATACTGTAACAAACAATGCCAACAGTACTTATATTTAAAAAAAAATGGTTGAAAATTATCTAGGAGAGTAAATCTGAACCAAAGTATTTTGGTAAGCAAGCAGAATATTCTAAATTGTGGAACATGGTAAAATCTGAGGTTAAATCTAATGGAATGCTTAGATGAAAAACTGTATTACTAATATACAATATCTTAGTTCTTAATTTTTTTTAACAAAGACATAGGAATGCCCACTTTTAAGAAGCAAATAGAGAGAAATGTCAGGTTTTGGTGCATAGGTAAGAAATAGGGCTCGCTCTTTAACAAGTTTTGCTAAGAGTCCTGCTAAATCCTAATAAAACCAGCAAATGAATGATGACAAGTAATGATATTTGGCCTATGAGCTTATCAAGCACAGAGCTCTGTGAGCTAATGAAACTAAAAAGATGTCTAAGGTATATCTGAAGTTGCTGAACAGCGAAGGTCGAGATGCTTTCTCAAGTGTCAGTTCAATGAAAAGAGTAAGGAGTGCCCTACCATTAACTTGAAAATAATCTATATTTAAATGTTTCAAAACAGCATCCAGACAACCACTGGCATTCAAAATAGCTGTATTTGTAATCTTAAAGCATGATATTTGTCATTCACTCTGTAGTTATGTAGAAAGCATAGTATCCTTCAAAACTCTTGAGTGCTATTAAATATATTTCATTATTTGGTCTGGATTAAGAAGAGCTAATTGGAAATAACTAGTAAAAGTGAAACTAGATTATATAATAAAGACATAAGGACACCTCCTGATAATATGGTTAATGAAAGCTATGTCATTGTTTAAAGAACAAACTGGGTGACACTTTTTTTTTGTAAGATTCATTAAGTTCCATGTCCTTCACATCTACAATTACAATTACAAGTAACAATCTACAATTACAAATAACATCACAGAAAAATTAGTTTACTTCTAGGGAATAAATTCTTTCTTTCCTTCAAATAGGTACATAAATACAGGTATATACATGATTTTTCCTATACTGATAGATATAGTTTCACAATGAATTAAATAAAGCATATGAATTAAAAAACATAAAATCCCTTTCCCTATAAAGGATGCAGAATTGTAATGAATATTCATGTTGAAATCTCTGAAATTTAATCTTTCACCATTCTTGGTTTGCAGGGAATTTTATGTAGTGTGAAAAGCATTCACTGGATTTACATAGTAATATAGCAATTTCAATACACCATTTGATATATACACACAGTATGGGACAGAAACAGGTTCACCTTAGATACCCTTTAGTCTACAAACCTCAATCGTCAATCACATCTAAAGATTATTAAACTATAGACTTCTATATACTGCCACTCTAAAACAAGGAATGCAGTTATGGTAGATTTATGTAAATATAGCTCTAACAAATATGTTGGTGTAAAGGAAGCCATTTTTAACTGAAGCTACAATAGCACGTCAGACAGACATTTTTCTTACATCTACATGTTTTCTAACCACAGTTTTTTTCAATACATAGATAAAGACTACAGGGCAAATTCCCTTTTTGGTTAAATTCTTGACAGTACTTAAATAAGAGCAGACAGATATTACTTACTGCTGATTTTACCCTCAACTGATGTAGTAATCTCTAGAGAACCTGGGACACAAGTGTGCTTTGTTTTTTTTCAGCACTGACTTACATGAGGATTTAGTGTGAAAGACTAGGAATTTTTAGCTTATTCCCCACAGCCCCTTTCTTCCAAGCCCAAATAAAGACTCAAGCCTTAATTTTTGTGTTCTTCAGATGATAGCAATGATTCCTCACATGCCACAGACTGTGGACCTATTTTTATCAGTGGCATAACAGTCACAGCATAGACAGGCCATTTAAGCGTTAGATATTTGGTTATATTCCATATCCCCCAAAGAACTGAAAGTGTTACTATGAATCTTCTATCTCATACTGTTGATGTACTCCTTTAGTCCAATGTTGTTCTTTTTACCAGAGGGCTAAGGCAAAACTCTCAAATAATAAGACTAAACCCTCTCCATACCAAGACTGACAACTTTCATTGCTATAGATTGATGAAAATTCTTTCTAAGCTACAGCTTGTACAGTTAATCTCTTCCACAATTTTTAGTACTGCTGGAAGGCCCTTAAATTTTCTTTAGCCCAAGACAAAACACAGTTTGCCCATTCAACCTGTGGGTAGCTGAATGAGACTGTCTATATGAAGATACTCAGGAAAGGAAAAGAAACAGGCAAACCCTTACCGCTAATCCAGATATGGAAACCATGAACCTATCTGCCCTGTTAGAATACATTATTATAAAATTAATGAAATAGTAAAAAGAACGAGCTTACATTTATACACTAGATTACTCTGCACATGATAAAACTGCGCCTGTGTGGACTGAACTAAAAATTTCATATTAAACCAGTGATATCAAAGGTCAAGCTAACTTATCTATAAATTAACGAGTTCACCTATCCATAAGACAAATTAGACCTTGATATTTATAAATCAATGAGTTCTACATATGAGTCTATTAATATAAAATCAACCTGATCATTTTGAAAATATGTATTTATGCGGACCAAGCAGATACATCACAGACCCCTGATCTTCTGTCTTTCCAGTAAAATGATAGTAAGAATTTTTTGTTTGTTTTCTAATCGAATTATGAAAAACAAAAAAAAAAGGGCATTCTATCTAAACATATCTGCTGCAACATGCAATGACATGTTCTTAATTCCTGGAATAATCAGGACACCTGTTGAAGCACACTGCAACTTCCATCTAAGCACCATGCTCAGCTTTCCATTCCAAGCAAACGAGGACAGAGGAACTCTGGGGCATGCTTCAGTCTCTCTTAAAGACATCTCTTGTGTGCACTTCCTGATTATGAACCGTAACTTCCAATAAGCACTCTTGGCTTCTCCAGATCAAATGTAACCTGTAATGGCTAGATTCACTTTGCAAGTACCTACATGCTACTTTATAATTAAACTTTATGTTCAGCTGAAGTTTTCAGCTGCGATCTAACACTACTGAAATGCACATTGCAAGGGCACTCAAGTTTCCATCAGTAAGCATGATGAGCCTAATGAATGTGGCCGAACAGCAAAGCCCTAATATCCCATCATCCTATGTTGACTCAAGCTTCAGACACAAACACATATTAGCCAAGATTTGTCTCACACTCTTACTGGATAAAGCTTCATAAATATATAGACATAGGGAACCTCTTCAGAGTTTGCAACACATTTGCAAATATCAGCAACAACATCCAATGAGTCCACCCCAAAGGTGGACTAAAGTTAACCAGACTCAGCTGACCTGCTTTCAAATAAGGTCAAGAATTCAGAAATCCTACATACCTGTAGCTTCAAGTATAGAGGCACCAGGAAATGAGACGTGAATTCTTATTTTACTCCTTTTTTACTCTGTAAACAAGATCATGTTACATTACAACATATGTGTTATTTAAGACAAGGGTGGGAAAAAGAATGACGGAGACATGATAAAGTACTTAAGTCTGATAACTATTAATATGGTTATGAAAGTAACAAAGAGCTTTGGCAGACAGAATTAAGAAATCCCAACTAATGGAGTTCAAGGGTTAGGACACTCATACTAGACCCTGGGAAACTCTGTTCTCCCATAAGGAAGAGTAGGTAGCGAAAAACAGGACTTCATATTATTTGAGACAGCCAGCATGGCTTCACCAAGGGCTAGTCTTCAAGACCAACCTAGTGGCTTTCTACAGTAGAGTGACTACATCTGTGGATAAGGGAAGAGCTATGCATGTCATCTGGACTTCTGCAGGGCCTTTGACATAGTCCCTACAACATCTCTAAATTGGAGAGATAGGGATTTGATTTGTGGACTGCTTGGTGGATGAAGAACTGGTTGGACAGTCGCATCCAGAGGATAGTGGTCAACTGCTCAATGTCCAGATGGACATCAGTAACAAATGGTGTCCCTCAGGGGTCTGTATTGGGACGAGTGTTATTTAATGTCTTCATCAATGACATAGTGGGATCCAGTGCACCCTCATCAAGTTTGCAGATTACACCAAGCTGAGTGATGCAGTTGACACACCTGAAGGACAGGATGTCATCCAGAGGGACCTGGAGAAGCTCAACAAGTGGGCCCTTGGAAATCTCAGGAGGTTCAACAAGGTCAAGTGCAAGGTGCTGCACAATGGGTCAGGGCAATGCCCAGTATCAAAACAGGCTGTGGGATGAAGTGATTGAGAGCAGTCATGACAGGGAGGCTTTGAGAATACTTGTGAATGAAAAGCTGAAGATGAACTGACAGTGTGTGCTCATAGTCAAGAAAGCCAATCGCGTTCTGGGCTGCATCAAAAGAAGCATGGCCAGCAGGCCAAGGAAGGGGATTCTCCCCCTCAGCTCTTATGAGACACCCCCCCACACCTGGAGGACTGCATTCAGTTCTGTGGCCCCAACATAAGAACGACATGGACCTGCTGGAGCAGACGCAAAGGAAGGCCATAAAAATGATCAGAGGGCTGGAGCACCTCTCCTGTGAAGACAGGGCAAGAGAGTTGGGGTCGTTCAGCCTTGAGACGAGAAGGCTCCAGGGTGACCTTACTGCAGCCTTTCAGTACTTAAGATGGGGACAGATGTAAGAAAGATGGGGACAGACTTTCTATCAGGGCCTGTTGTGACAGAATAAAGGGTAATAGTTTTAAACTAAGAGAGGTTAGATTAAGACTAGACTTCACGATAAGGGGGAAGAGAGGTTAGGTTAAGACTAGGCTTCACGATAAGGGGGGTGAAACACTAGAATAGGTTGCCTAGAGAGGTGGTAAATGCCCCATCCCTGGAAACATTCAAGGTCAGGTTGGATGGGAATATCAGAAATATGAATATATGAGAGTTACTGTAGAGTCATTATCTTGATTTTGAGAAGTATCTAGCCATACTGAAAACATTAAAACCAAAAAAGCTGAACAAATTTGCATACTTGAAACCACTCTGTATTTGAGCTAAAGTGCCTATCCAAAATTATAATCTAGAGCCTATATTTTTCACAATGCATTCCATGTCAAAAGGCAATGGAAATTCACCATGCCTGACAGTCTCAGGACTTTGCTTATACTACATTTTTCATGGGTTAGCAAGTGACTTTAAAAACAGTAATTGTAAAACAAAGTTGAAAAAGAAGCAATGATCTGGGAATGAGACAGAGTATTAATATTCTTAATATAGACCATTCTGGAATGATTAAATTAGAACTTCATGTGTCACTACAGAAAGAGCTCATATCCACTCTCAAAACCCAAATATTCCCAATAAGTTGACAACATGAACAAAATATTCTTGAAGTCAAATAAAAAACAGGATTGTGGAAAACTCCTGAACCCTCTCCCTCAGAGTTGCTATATTCTGTCATGAGAAGCGTTTCCTTCTGATGAACATTCAGCATAGCAAAGCATCTGGATAGGCAAGAACTGAAAGAAATCCTTGCTGTGAATCTAACAGTTACTGGGACACTCAGAGCCTAAGGAGGACTGCTCTGAGAAGATCCAGCATACTCTGTCACACTGACCTTTTTTTCAGTACTGGTAGTTATTTATTACAATATTGACCCAAAGAATAAGTATATTTGGCATGCCGGCTCAGAAAGCTCTCCCCTACATGTGCACACAAGTTAATCCTTTCCCTAACATACTTCTTTCCCTCATCACCCTCAAATTAACTCTAATTCACACTTTTTCATGAATTTCAAAGCCATTCCTTTAGAATCGAGTAGATCAGGTGATAAATTTCAGGATGTAAATACAATAATCCCAGGTCATCTCTAAATTTGCTTTGCTGGAAAGACTTTCATATTAGCACAGTGAGAAATAAGTGCTATGCATATGTTGTTGAAGGATCGTCTAGGCGGATACTGAGGGACAGATGCTGATCCAAACAGAATTGGTGCATAGGAGAGAACAAACACACAAGAAAGAATGACTTAGAGTGTCTTAATGCAAGATATGAGGAGAAAAAAAAAAAGAGGTTAGCTATTCCTCTCTTCCTGAAGTGAGCATATTTCCAATTTGTAACAGATTCATCTGCATATAAATTATCAAACTGTAGCAAGACTACTTTGCAACACAGAGTATTCATGTCAGCTGAGCAGGTCAGTTTAACAAAAGGTTTGCAGAAAGATTTGTATCTGTTCTACTGCTGCTCCATTACTGGGTTTGTTCTTTCTCAACTCCTGCTTTGTGGTCTACAAATTGCATTTCTTTTTTGGACAGTAACCATACCTACAGACTCTAGAAGAGTCTCTTTCCCATTATCAACTTAAGGCTTCACTCTGAGCCTATTCCCTGCTGTTGGCAGAGCTGCTCAAGCTGGCAGCTATCTACTTGTTATTCCTCACCATCTGCCTGTATCACCACAAACTGCAGAAGCATCTCTCAATTGCACACCATCAGCTATTCACGGGAGAAGTTCAATCTCTCTTCTTCTTCCTAGTGGTTCAATTGGACCCATATTTGATCCATTTGTGACAATCAGGTTAAGGAAAACTGCAACTTCACTGCTGGCTGCCTAGCCACTAACTTCTAACAGAATGTAATGCAGAGTTCAGATACATTGAACTGCTAATATACAGTGAATCTGTCACATATGTCCAACACTTACTAAGAGATATTTTCTTTAGGGGAAAAAAAAAAGAATATAGAAGAAAAGAAAAAATTCTTCCTGGAACTTTGTTTTAACATTTTTCAAGTTTCCATTTATTCATTTATATTGTTAGGGAACCTTCTGCACTCACACCATTTTAGCACTTTTAAAAACTTCCCTTCTGCAACTAACCAGCTGGCAATGACAGAAAATACAACCTATTTTGCTTTTTTCAGACAGTTGAATGGAATGATTTTACAGTTATGATGTATGTTTGTTCTCTCACAGGGGTTAAGAATAATTCATCAGTAGAGCACTTAGCCTTGCTGCCCTAAAAATATAAGGGAAAGAAATCTTTGACTTAAATTCAGACTCTTCACAATGCATTACTCTTACCTGAGAGCCCACACATTACACTTATTATTTATTCAATATTACCACTTACAGTTTCCAGGAGTAGTAAAAGGATCATTATCCTAGTCACTGATTTTTTTAATTTCTTGGGCCTGAGTTTTGAATGTGCTATTGAGATTCAAAGTTTTTCTGCATGTATAGCTTCTATTATCTTTCATCAGATTTCTGGAAAAAACGGCATCACTAAAAGTTAAGTTAATTTTTGAAAAAAAAAAAGTACTTCATTTAAATAACAATAAGCATGTTCTTCTTGCCAGTAAATGTAAGAAATTTATAGAAAGTTGAGGTATGTGTGGAGGCTGAGCAATTCCAGAAAACTGACATTCCTCATGTGAGAAGCACACATGATGTGCCTTTAAGATAGAATTTACCACACCCTGGAGAGTTACTGTAGAGTTTAAGTGAGAACACTAGATAACATGTGGACAGAGAAGGAAGAAAACAAAGAAGTATGAGAAAATTGGCAGAACATGGGTAACAGCTTTTAAGTTAGAAAATAGCACTATATTCCTTTTCCCCATTATGTACAAGGTTTTATCTAAGATAGATACAGATAAATACAGATCTTTGAAGTATTGTTTAGGTCACTGTGATAACTAGTCTGCTATAATAAAGCCACGTGACTTTGTTCACAAAAGTTTCGCAAACTTTGATTTATAATCTTGGTTTGTATGGTACAGACAAAGAGGACAAAACAAAACTCCTAGGATCTACAACTACCTCCAAGCACGATTCTTCCAAGCACAGGAAGCAGAAAGGCTATTTTGAAACTGCTTCTAACCTAGGACATTCTACAAAAAAAGATTTACATTATCTTGCATCATTTTATCTCCTTATACTGTTTATTTTCCATATGCTCTTGCTATCTGTTAGAAATTTTTCAGTACTGAGATTTATGCCTTTGGTCTGTGATGGGCAAGAAAAGTGGAAGTACCTGTCTGGTCACTCACAGCCACAGAAGTAGAAACAGGAAGGAGGAGGAAGACTGCCATACAAAGCCAAATTATGTAGGATCCGATGTACTTCATCTCTCCCTGGACACATATGAACAATCAGCTACAAATCTGAAACAGAAAATAAGCATTTTTAGAACAGTTTCATCTTATTCTTTTCGCCTCACTCCATCAGAAGACTGCAAACAAAAATTTCTTAACTGTGAAGAGAAAGTTGCTAGCAACATGCAAGTGTATAATTTATCTGCTTAAGGAGTTACAAAAAGTCTTATATCAATTTAGAAATAAATTACAAATATACTCCTTTTTAGTTGTTCATTGAACTTCAAAGTAACACTTTAGAAATACTAACTCAGATACATTAGTTGTAAAGGCCCTTATTTTCCATTTAATTAGTAATTACTAATTTTATATTTCTCCCCAAATTATTTTTCAATTTTCAATATATCAGCTAAACTATTTGGTGTCACGACATTTCTAGTGACTTTGAAGACTACTGCTGCTGAAGTAGTCTTCAAATTGAACAAAGAACAACATGCAGTTGTTTCAGTTTAAGCACAACAGAAACCAAAATATGCTGTTTCTTTACCTTGCAAAATACAGAAGCAGCCTATATTTAATTGCCACTTAAAATCTCACAAATTTACAGTCTGGCTTCAAGAACATATCTTTTATTGTTCAGCTTTTCTTCTAAGTCAACCGCGATGCATATATACACGTAGATTTAATGACACACAGAAAATAGCAAGTATTATTCTAATCACATTTTCTGTAAGAAAAGCAAAACACGTACCTAAGATGCAATTTTTATAATTATTTTCTCAGGGCACCTTATTCATCATCAGAGCTATTCTGTCAGTCACATGCACTGACAGCAACTACACCATCATTAACTTTTCCAGCCTCCCAACCAGCAGCAAAGCCAATATATGTTCAAATAACATTATCATTTAATTTCCTGCACCTGCTTTGCAAGCAGGCATCGGGAATTCACTAGAGCCGCCGCTTCAGAGGACTCGTTTTTTGAAGGGCTCTTACAACCAGCATCGCCAGCCCCGCGCTGCCGCCGCACCTCCGGGCTTGGGTCCCCTCCCGCCGGGGGCTCCGGGAGGCTCCGCTCCCTCGCTCAAACCGGCGCTCCGGAGCCCACAGGGCGCCTGCGGAGCGACCCGAGCCCTCGGCAGCTCAGATTTTAACTCGGCAGTGCCGGCAGCTTCATTTCTCTCGGATCGGGCTGGGTTTGCCGGAGGGAAGGTCCAGCACTTCCAGGCGGGAAGGCAAGCGGGCAGCTTGGGCGGCGGGGCTGGGCGAGGAGCCCGAGCAGCGCCCCCGCCCCGCAGCCGGAGCCCGCTCTCTGAGCTCTCGGCTCCGCGCCCCCGGCCCCGCTGTCGGGCCCCCCCGCCGCCCCCGCCCCGTCTCCCCGGACCCTCCTGCGGCGCCAGGAGCGGCCGGCCCGGCCGGGCCGAGCCGAGCGAGGGGCAGCGCCCGCCGACGCTTCCTATGCGGCCCCGGGGCGGAGCGGAGCCAGGATCCCGCTCGGGCCGGCGGCGCCTGCGGGCTGGGGAGCCCCGGTGCCGCCGGGCGCTGCGGCGGAGTCCCGCCGGCACCTGCACGGGGCCGCAGGTGAGGGGCCGCCGCGGGCGGGAGGGGGCCGGGGTCGGCAGCGCTGGTGCCAGCCCGGCGGGACGCGCCCCTCGGCATCCCCGGCTCTGCCCCGCAGCTGCTGCGCGGCGCGGTGCCCCCTCCTCGGAGGGCACTCGCTGCCGCAGCTCACTCACCGGCGTGTTCCACTAACTGCGTGCAGGCCACCCGGTAAGCGAGCTAATTACAAGGGCACACACTAATAGGTAGGTTTTTAAATGTAAATACATGCACAATCAGAATTGCGGCAATTCGCAACACTTTAATCAGTTTTGTAAATTACTGCTAATTTAATAGGGCTGTTTCTATTAGCATGTCTTAGCATATACCTATAGTCGCCGGCTAACATATACAATGTATTTACACAGTCATGAGAAGCATACTATAGCATAGGCTGAATGCACTGCATTAAAAACTTACAGTGTACATCATGTTTATACAAAACGTAGTTAATATTAGCAGTGATAAACTTAAATGGTTATTTTGGAAAACAAAAACCCACGAACAAAACCACCACAAAACAAGCCAGGAATAGTGTAGTATGTGTGTGTGTGTGCACATGTGATATGTTTAGAGAATTGACTACAAATAATGAGTTGCTTACCTTTAATGTTTATATTATTCTGTCCCCCGGAAGCACTGAAAATGCCTGTACAGAGCTGCTGTAGTGCTGAGGAGTTGCTGGAGTAAGTCTCCAAAGAGTGGTAGAGGGGGATGCAGCTCTGTCCTTATTAGTCTCATATAGTGTGACCCTCCCACTCAGTGAGCAAGAATACTCTGCAAGAAAGGACAAACAGCCACCCAGACACAGATTCTACGTAATCACGTGTATATCCCAAGACAGGTAACGATGTAAGAAATGGTGTTTTTTAATTCTTCCCACTACCTCCCCAAAAAAATAGTGCACTACAGTTCATAAATTAGACTGCCATGGGATGAATCCATGAATGAAAGAGTATCTGGTTTCTAGTTGTAAAGAACCAATTATGTGCATTAGCACACTGGAAGAAACTAGCTTTTATCCTTCAAGTGTAAGCATACACCATTAATTTTATATACTTGGTCATAAATTTAAAAATCAGCCACTTAAGAAACCAAGAGAGTACACCTGTTTATGGCACTGATGCTGCAATGCTCAGCGAATTACTGACATTTGCTTTGCCTTTTAAAAATCTATAATTTACAAACCTGAATGTTCTTGCACTTGTAATATCATCTGTCTGTGATGAAATGGTGAGACTGAGCGCTGCCACTGGCTCTTATCTGAATGTGCCAAACTGCACTTTTGTCAGGTTCTCCAAGTGTGCTTGTGGTAGTTTTCTGTATTGCATTTTAAAGATGTAAACCAGATAGAAGGACGGAGAGAAGTAGAATGACTAGAAATAGATACACAGAAGACAGAGAGTAGGGCTTTAATTAAACATATCTCATTTATACATATCCAAGACATATTTTAGCTTTTTCTAGTAGAATTGTTCTGACAGGGGAAAAAAATTGAAGATGGTCATATGAAAATTTATCAGCTTAACATCAATTTAGCCAACTGGTCTTCAGGTCAGAAAACTCATAGGATAAACTTTTTTCCACTCCCAAACCCCATATCCCAAATCCTCCCACACACCCACCAGATTTCGGAAAGTGTTTCCTCATTTCAATTGAGATAGCTAGCCAGGATAACCAACAAATCACATGGAAAGACATAATTATCTTTCTGGTTTGAATTTCAAAACAGTTGTTGTTCTTCCCAACTTAGAATCACAAGAGAAAGATGAAATTGCAGCTTACATACACGTCTGCTGGGGTGTTTTATTCCACAGCTTTGCCACAGACTTGTGGTGTAACTTTAGGCAAGTCACACTTCTTGCTTGCTCATTCTGTAAATTATAGAAAGTAAAGCTGTCTTACCTCGCAGAGTGAGGAGTAAGAGCCCAATCCCACAGCTGAAAAATCATCAGAGCACTTTCTTTCTCCTTCAGACTGTTCACTTGATAAAGGCTTCAGTGTTGACCCCTAATTCTGTGTTTCAAGCAGAGTTGTGAGATCCTCAGCTGAAAGACCTTTTGTAAAAGCTCTGCCTCTAGTGAAAGGCATAATCATTTTTGATTTGAAAGGAACTGCATTTCTCATTGCTCTTTCAAGCTACAAAATTCTAAAAATTTTTTTTTTACTTAATTTACATGTCCTAATTACCTGGATTCATCTGTGTTACATGAATATAAACAGTCTCATTAATTTCAATCACTGTAAGTTCTGAATTAGGTAAACATTTTAATTGTGTAACAGTTGCGCATACAATCAGTTCATCCTTTAAAGAAATATTTCCGTCCATCAAAATTTCAGTATTGTTTGAAGGTCCAGACCCAAATAAGATCTTCTTTTCCTACGAAGCAATAATGAAACATAATTCCTAAACCAAGCGTGTTGCTTCACTTACCAAGATATTGACACTACAAATAGGAAATTAAATACCTTATTTGGACCATGTCAACTTTAAAGAACATTCCACATCTGCATGAAAGTAGTAAGTAGAAGAATTAGAAACTGCTACAACCTTCCCTGACTAACACATACACTTCCTGTACTCTGGGCCAGATCTTCAACTAAACAGGATTATTCCAGTTCACACAAATCAAAGAAATTACTAGCTGAGGAGGTCAACGTTAGGGACTGCCACCATATGTATTTATGGACAACACTGTTCACGTTAATAAATACAGTTTGAATGACTAGTCATGTGCAACTTGGGAACAAGAAAAACCTTACTCTTTAAAAACCCCTGTCATGACCCCCCCAAAATGGCTTCTCTCTGCCTCTCATAATGTAATAAGCAAAGCCACAACTGGCAAAACATCTCTTGTTACCATAAACAGCTTAAAAATTCCAAACACCTATATGCTTGTTCACTTGAAGTTACTGATGCGCTCCAGAGAAAACATTTTCTGTAGATCGTCTTCTTTTCTTTGTATCTGGGGAGCTGAAGCACCTGAAGACAATGGATGACATTCCATGTTATATTTGCGGTAACATGGTTTTCCAGCTATCTCAGAGTTTAGCTAAAGGACACAGAAGACAGGATTAGACCTGGATCCAGGCAAGAGCCAAGGCAAATACACCAAGAAACAGGAAGGAGAGAAAATTAGGTTTGAAGCCATACTTAGCACAGACATGCAGAGAATGTTCCATCTCCTGCATCAAGGGGGAACTGCTCCACTGAACAGCTTTTACTGTGACTGCAGTTGCAGGCAGGATTCAGGGGGAAAAGGTGAGAGAATCTGTGGCAAAGGTATTGACTTACTTTGTAGAAAATTTTTCTTTATTGCTAACACTCGTTGTCACTCTTTTGTCACGATTAGAATATCCAAACCAGCCAAGCAGCGTATTCGCTCTGTCTGTGCAGTGCTAACAGATTTGTCTCCATCTCGTTAGACCCACATTTTAAACTTGTGTTGCTTACGACAATGCATATTCAGGAATGAAGCTGTAAACTTAGAAAAAACTCTAAGAGCAGCAGTATCCTACTTGAAAACAATTTTGTAAAAGGAGATTAATTTGAAACGCCCCTTACCACGCTATTTCTCACTGAATGTGGAGCTTAGTATTTCTGTTTTGTTGTATAAGCCCTTATGTGGCATTGTTCCTTGCCAGATGATCCTTTCTGCCCTCTGCAAGATTTGTCGGTCATGACAACTGCATTCCACTGAAGCAATTAAAATATAAATGCTTTTAAATACACGAGACTGAACTATAGTGAACTTAGACAAAACAGGTGGAATCCCAGCCCTGGGGAAGCTAATGGAAATTTTAACATTGATGTAAATGGAGCAAAAATGTCACTCAAATGAGGGCACTTTGGCAAAAATTACAACAAAAAGGAATTATTTATATGCATGTGCACATGCACTAAGCACTCCTAAGCAGCAAAGCCAACAGAAAAGCTGGATGTCACTTCATTTCTTCTATAGGAGATGAAAAGAGGAAAAAACCCGAACTGTAACTTCTTTTTCTTCATACTTAGGAAGGACTCAGTTTTTGAGTAAAGGGGCCAAAAATTACTAAAAAAAAAAAATGCAGAGAGAATATTTATCACTACACTTTGGTAGTGGTTGTTGTCTTGGCTCAAGTATTTTCTCCACTCTTTGGCACTTTACAACATGTCTTAAAATAAGCAATTGCTAATAAGTGTAATGGTATGGCAACCAAAAAAAAATATAAATTTCAAAGTAAATAAATCAACCTTTTGATATATTGCTTATATTTACTAGTTGCAAACATGCCAACAGTTGTTATCATATGCTTTGTAAAGTATTCATTACCATTCCAGAAAAATACAATTCTTGGCATATGCTACTCTTTAAGTGTTCAAAAATTCAGTTAAGTTATTCAAACCTGAGATACAGCTGGATTTGTAGAAGTTGGTATAACATCAGTCTGGGATTAGAGAAAGAATGCTAAGATTAATAGTGTCAAAATGTCTATGTCCTTAATACATTAAAAGGCATGCTTTACTTTGTCTTCCTATGAATAAATTCATATATAGAGAGAGCCATATTCCAAACAGCTTGCCACAAATTCTATTGCTTCATGAACCACACAAAGACATAGACAATAAAATAATTTAAAAATAACATTTACCACTGTTGTTCTTTCTTTTCCGGCTTTCATATGGAATCCATCCTAACTGTAACACAGGAAATATGTGCCTTTTGATGGCTTTCTTATTGTACAAGAAAAAAAGTAAGTGGTCAAACAGCTGATTAGGGGAGAGAAAAGCTGAAAGGTGATTTTCCAAAACAAGTCAAAGCACAACTTCTGGCTTGTTTTAAACTAAAGTATCCATATGTCTTTAAAAGTCCTTACATGTAGTCAAAAGATCAAAGCAAGGTTTTAGGCAGCTTTGCTGGGAAGTACAGGTGCTTGCCCAATACTTCTGTATGAATATGTTAAAATCCTACGCACAGTCTGAAAACATCTTTAAATCAGTGCAATATATTAATTTAAAATTTATATGATGCAAATATTAGGAAAAGGAAGGTGAAGAGCAAAGGAAAGGTATCATCAAAATTTAAGATCCTATAAAAAGATTAGGCTGTATAAGCCCTACAGGCTTAATGGCCAACTTTATTTCAGATCAGAAGGCTGAATATTTTATGCCTATTTTCTGTCTATCTCCTACCGTTATGTCCTTTCTAGGCAGCTAATTTGCCCAAATGTTATTTACAAATGGAACACTACAATGATAAATAACCCACTTATACATCTAGTTATGAACAGTTTCAAATTTTCAGAAAGTAACTTCTATAAATTTGCCTATGCAAGACTGATACATATGACCATCGGGTTTTATCAACATAGTAGCTACAATTATATTAACACATTCAGAACCCTAGGTTCATGCAGAGCTATTTACCATTATGCTATTTTCATGCTCAATTTCAATACTGTCAAACAACATAAAAATGAAATAATAAAATGACAAGTATTTTATTAATATTTATTGATGAATAAATAGGCACAATAATCAGGGAAGTCATATTAAAGTCCATGGTTAATTTGTATCTCTGCATCCACATACTTTATTTGCCTCTCATCTAGGAATAAATATTCTCAGGATTTAACTATTATGCTTTTAAGTAAGTAGTTTTACAGATTTATGTAAGCTTGATGTCTGCCTAGAGCTATCTAGTTATGATCTC